TTCTATTTGCTTGGATGCTCTTTTTTGAATGTCTTTTATTTTTCAAATAAAATCAAATTTTATTTTTCCAACAAATCTTTGAGATTTATTTTGGTAACCTCTGCTTTTTAGCCTCTGCTTTCCTAGCTTCAATCTCACACTTAGTCTGCATGAGGCGGGTTTTTTCTCTTTTGCTCACCCTGAGCTTCCTGGGGAGGACGCTGAGCAATTGCGCCGGTGTCTTGAGGCATGCTCCCGCTTCCGCTCCATCAGAGTTGTAGATTCAACTCTTTTGAGAAGGAAATGAATGTTTATTGAACATCTGTTATCTGGCAGACCCTATGAACCTAGTATCTCAATGATGCCTCACAGCAAACCTGATATTCATTTTGCCTATTTCACAAGTGAGGAACTTAAAGCTCGAAGAGGGTTAATAGTTTAGTCTAAGGCTGCACAACCGTGAGCTGGGAGGCCAGGAGTCACCCTGAGGTTTGACTCAGTCTCCACTGTTGTCACACTGTTAGAATCTTGTCCCTGCATGCTGGCCAATTGCCAACTGTCAGCACCGGCAGCTCTTGGCAGTCTGGAAGGCTCTGCGTCCGCTGCCCCTATTCTGCTTGTATGGCGAGCAGGCCAGAAGAGCCGGGGAGCTAAGCCCCCCGCATCCCTACCTTGCCCCACTCCTTGGGTGCAGCCTTCAACCAGTGACTGATAAGAGTTGGTGGGTAACTCTGAGGCTGACTCTGTCTACACAACTTCCTAGAGTTCCACGGTGAGATTGAGTCCCATCTCCCTCGGAGGTAATTGGCTTCGTAACAACCCTTTCTCGATTGCTTTCCCTTGTGGTGTCACTTCCCTTCTCCCTGGCTGGTGCTTCCTGGGAGCTCCTCGCAAATAAGCTACTTGTCTTTAAGTCCTAGGCTCAGGTCTGCCTCTGAGAAAACCCCAGCCCACAGCGAGGAGACTCTCCTTGGACTTTGTAAAGCCACCACCGATGCCTTCACCTCCATAGCTTCAGCAAAGCAGGCGTTTGGAGCAAAGCAGGAGATGCTCTGCTCCACCCGCGGCGCCCACACTCTGAAAGCTGCCGCCCCAGTCACCCGCGGCACGTTCTTAGAGAAATCTCCCTCTACTCCACTGACTGGAATGTGAATGCAGGCCCATGATTGTCGCTGGACGGAGGCCACACAGTACAGACACGAACAACCTCCCTGCTGCCCAGCCCTCCCCTGTAAGCCGCATCCCACACCCGCGTCCCACACCCGCATCCCCATCGCCCTCAGGCTCCTCTGGAGAATTCCTGTGTCCGGTTTCTCCCTTCCTTGGGGGCTTGCACATAGCAGGCCCGGAACACAGCGACCCGATTGAGTTAGAGCGGGTATCCAGGCGGTTTGCACAGACAGCACGGGGTAACGGAACTCTGATTTTGATTTGGTCTAAAATAATGTCTTTTTATTACTAGTTCACTTTATTACTATTGGGATGGAAAAAGGAGCATTTTAATTACTCGGAATAGTGAGTATTTACCAGTGGGACTGCATCTCCCTGATTAAATGAGTCACAGAACAATAGAATAATAATAAAAAAGTGGCTATTATTATCCTTTGCTCCTAACACTCAATAGATTCAATGTAGATTTGTTGAATTAAATTAACACTAACGACTTACATTTATATATTGATTTGCAGTTTCCAAAGGAGTTTAATTCTCAGTTTAAATAGGACACCGACTACCAGCGTACTCCGAGTCTTCTCTTTTAATATTAGGGAATAAGCAAGCTTTGAAAATAATTCTGCCCTGGGAAATGTTTTGCCTGGTTTGATTATGAAGAGATTTTTGTCCTATTTGTCTTAGAACCTCTGATAGAGTTTTCACTTCTCACTGAAATTAATCAGCAGCAAGAAGGAGTTTCCTCAATACTGCACATTTCTGTGTATTTTAACCTTTAATAAATTTTCAGGTCATCCTCTCTGTGGCAATTGTTGCCGGCATCCGGCCCTGGCAGGCTTTGGCCTGTCACTCTCGTGTCCCTGGAAAGCTCCAGCTGCAGGTACCCACATTCCTTTGCTGAGGGCTTCCTCCGGGACTGTGGGAAGGTAGGAGGTGCTGGAATGGTGAGGTGTCCTGGGACCAGCCCTCACCGGGTGACTGACAGAAGTTGCGTTTCTCGGGTGTCGCATCCTGGGTGGAATGACTGCGGCGCACACATTCTACACCGTCCCCCAGATTTCCCAGTGGGATTCAGTTCCAGCTGCTCACCGTGGCAACTTGTTTGAAATGCACCATTTATTGGCTGCCTTCCCTTCTATGTCTCATTCTACCCTCCTCTACCTCTGCTTTCTGGGATCACCTCCCAAATAAACTGCCTGCACTCAAACCCTGGCCTGAGGGTTTGCTTCTGGGGGAAACGCAAACCAAAACTTCCCAAATACACTTGCCTGGAAGGGCTCTGGGCGAGCTCATCCCATCCAAGCCATTAAGTCACCTAACAAGGTGTGAAGCGGCCTGTTAATCTTTTGCTCAAACAATTTTCGAGTTTGTCACCGTTCGCTGATTTCATTGCTCTCCCGGGCGGGTCTACACCACTTGCCATCCTCATTCTGTTAATTATAGTGTAAAATTTTTAATTAAAAATAAAGAAGATAAATTTGGTTAGTAGCTTCAAAGTTGTCACTCTCAACTCGATAGGGGGTGAGAGAGACACGGTGACCAGCGAGAACCAGTCGGTTCACGTTCTTGCGGAGGAGTTACGGATAAGATATTTGCATGTTCAGTTTTCTTACCTCCACCAAAGACATGGAAACTTCTCACAGCCATGTGTAATTAGATACAATTTCTTTGTAAGGTTCCAAGTGTTTGATAAATGCTAAAGATTTGAACCTTCCTCTGGATGGAAGTTGTCAAAACGAGCCGTTTTGCACAGAACTCACATTTTCTGCTCAATTCTTACATGTCCCCTAGTTTAAGTTTAGTGGAGACATTGTCATCTTCTCGACAGCGTCCTTGCCAAATGGCTGTCAACCCTCTTCTTGAACATTTTCAGATATGGAGAACTGATTACTTCCTGGGAGAGCTAACTCCTTTTTTCTTTTTTTTAATTAACCTTCATCACTGGACAGTTCTTCCTTTAACTGAACTAACATATGTTTCCCACAGTTGTCACCCATTGGTGGGAATTTTCTTGGGATAAATTACTGAACAAGTTGAAGGCCTTATCCCACATGGAGAACTCCAAGTATTTGAAAACATATTTAATGTGCCTCCTAAGTTGTTTTTTCCTGGTTCTCTCAGCTCTGCTTAGCAAGTTATGGTTTGGAGCCCCTCTGCCACCCTTGTCACTGTCTATCATTCTCAGAGTGAGATACTCATTGGAAGCAAACTAGTTGTCCAACATTTGGGGATTTGAAAAGTTTAAATAAATTACAGCATGAGGCAATACTATAATAGTCCTTATAATCATGTTTTGAAGAATATTTAATAATTTAAAGATGTCCATAACGTATAAAGTGGAGGGGATCACCCCTGCAGTCTACTGTCCCTGCCCTTTCTTTGTAAGGAAAGGCCTCTGGGTATGAGAGTCCTGGAGAAAATGTAATACTTGCGTTTCTGAATCTGTGCTTTGGAGAACTTTCCAGGGCCCTGCGGTTCTTGGGGAGGCAGAGAAAGGGAGGGCAGTGGGGAAAGTGGGAGGCCTTTTGTCGGGCAGTCCCTTTATGGAGGCAGAAGGAGCAGATGGGCAGACAGTGGGCTTGCCGTGGGGAGGTGGTCACGGGAGGAGAAAATTGTTTCCTTAGATTCTGCAGACCATGCTGAGGTGCAACCTACAACCCGCAGGCAGTTCTTTGCTGTCTTATCTACCGGAGTGGGTTCTCGTCTCCGGGAGCAGGGCTTTGGGTGAATTTCTGTCATTTCTCTTTGGGGGCACGTTGGCTGGACTGTACCTATGATTCACTTAACTTATTATTATTATTATTAAAAAAGATGCTCAGCCCAAAGTATATGCTTCTAGATTTATAAGACCTAGGCAGAAAATAGAAACGTTCGTTTCCTGACGCCCAATGCACTGGACACGCGGAAAATCTCCATTCCCTCTTTGCAATGTAGACACACACATCTTTCGGGATGAATGACCCAGAATGTTGACCCCAAAATGCTTTTGCTAACCATCTTTTCTCTAAGTCCATATTTCTCCTTAATATGAGTCTCTTCAGCTACTAAAATAAAATTTTAAAAAATACTTAGACTTGGCCCTTACAGGAGAAGTATAGCTTAGTAAAGGTTTAGATAATTTTAAGTGAACACACCAACGCTTGACTAGCGTACTCTCTGGGGTTAAAATAAAGTGATCCCTTATGTTTAAAGGGTGTGTAAATTTTATCAGGAAAGTGGCAGGACTGGCTGGGTCAAAAGTCAGAGGGCGTGGTTCACTGAGATCCTCTGGTAATCTTTCTCACTTGTCAGGGGGTCCTAGATGCTGAGCTCAGTGTCGTGGGCGAAGGTTGGCATGGAGTGCTCATGAGCACAAAAATGATTAAGAAAAGCGATGTTCTTGCTCTCATAAAGCTAAGGTTGCAGTGCGAGTTGCTGCATTTTTCGGCTGTTTGCCATCGGTCTCATCCAGCAGGAACCCAAAGGACTCGTTTCCACCCTTCTGTTCAACATCCTCTGTTGGAGTTGACCTTAAGCCTCACCAAGCCTCTCTCTTCTCCTCCCCTCTCTGTTCCTTTTTCCTCAGCACTCTGTTCCTTCAGAACCTCCACTTTCCTTCTTCCTTTCTCAGAGTCACCACCTTTGCCTGCTGCCGGGCCCCACGTGTTGTCATTCTGCCCTTAACCTGAGCTGTGGCTCCAACAAGATAGGGAGTTCTGGTGTGGGTGTGTGTACGTGTGCATGTGTTCCTGTGTGCACGTCCCATGTGCATGTATGCACGTGTGCGCACATGTGTGTTTCTAGTAATGACAGACACAAGAAAGAGCACTTAAGACACACGTGTGTCCCCACAGAGGTTGGCTTGTACTTACGTAGTTTGAGGCCAGGTCCGGGTGGAGGTAGTCAATCCCTGTGAAAAGACAACAGCATAGGAACAAAAAGTTAACACCTGCCACTGTATCCTCAGGAAAGCTGCTCAAAAAGCAGCTCCTCATGGGGCTGGCGCAGGGAGACTTGGGTGGGATGCACACCTCTGCCCGGGGCTCCAGACTTGCATTTCCATTCCCGAGTGAGGGTGGGCTGTACCGCCCAAGAGGAGAGACAGCTGTCACCAGATGCGTCAGAGGAGTGAAGCCAATTAGAGCCTGGGACCCCAGGATAACTCTTCTGACATAAATGTCAACCCTAAGGGGCTTAGTGGCTGCCAGATGGATGGCTCATCAGAGCAGTGATCTAAGAGATTTGTGGAAATCCTGACATTTCTAAAGCATCAACTGGCATTTCTTCTGAAATGAAACTGGCCCTGGGGAGGAAAAGCAATGATTATTTAACAGAGCACGGACAGCGGTGGATTAGGAGAGCATTGTCTGGCATGGAAATAATCAGAGGAATACAGCTCAGCGAGAAAAGCAATTAGGCAAAGGGCGAACGGTTTCCTGCGAGGTGTCTGGGTGGAAGTTGATGCTTGTTTCTCCAGGAAGCCTGAGACCCAGGTCCCCCCGGCAGGAGTCCTGAGCTGTCTCCTGGATGTGGCCTGTCTCATTGCCCAGTAGCCATCGCAATAAAAGAATTAAGGTCTGTGAGCACTGAGGGGTTCCGTCAGACATGTGGCCCTCAGAAAGCACCATGGGACTTCAAGGGCTAGTTGAAAAGCTCTCATCCAGGTCTGCAGAACCACATAATCCTCGTGGCAGTTACACCTGCGCATCCAGCCCTCCGAGAACTGGGTTTCTGCGCTGCCTGGCGTTGACGGTTACCAGCGTAGGTTTTGAAGTCAAAGACTGGAGTTTGAATCCCAACCATGCCGCACTCTGGCTGCACGACTTCAGTCAAGGTGCTTGGCCTCTCTGTGCATGGTTTCTTCCCACCCGGGGCAGGGAGGGGTGAGAACAGTGCGGTGTGCTTAGCCCAGGGGCATTTAATAACTCTACTGGGTTGCAATATTTAAAAGCTGGAAGTATCATTAAGTCCGCCTCGTAGCTGGCATCTTCCCTGCGTGCCTACTGAGGCCAGGCCGCAGTTACAGCTTTGCCCTGCAAAAAGGAACTAGTATCGGGCCGTACATTTCGAAAAGGAAATTTTTCTTTGTTTTTTCTGGTGATACCAGTAATTTCTGGACTGAGAGTCCCTGTTCTATAGAATGCATGTTACATTTTGCTGGTGATATTTTGACATGTGAAGCATTCACTGTTATCACGGCCACTTTCGAGAGCTTGGGAGAATACAGCCAGGCACTTCCTCCACGCCAGCATCCTCCTCCTCCCACCCTCCCAACGACAGCAGAAGGACGGGGCCGCCAGAAGATTTAGAGACGAATGTTTTCAAAGGCTGCGGCCCTTGTTCTGGACCCTGATTCGGAGCTGGTCGACACAGCCTGCGGGGTGGGGTTGAGGACGAGCACAGGCTACGAGACCAACAGATCCAGGTCTATTCTAGGCTGAGACACTGTAATATCTGTGTGGCTTTGGCCAAGTGACATAATCTCTCTGACCCTCGGTTTCCTCATCTTTGAAATGGGAATATTATTTACCTTGCAAGGAAATTTTCAAGATTAGAGCCAACTCACTGAAAGTGTTCAGCTTGTAGCAAACACTTGATAAATTATATTTCTTACCATCCTCATCAGGGCTATCATCTGTCACATCGCTAGAGTTATGTGGATAATGCAGAAGAGCAGAAACATTTTTCAAAAATCGACTTGGTTTTTAGAATGTTGTGTTGAAATTAAATTGTTTATATTTGTTGAAATTGGTTAAATTTTGTGAGCTCATTGTTGAGCTAAAAACTTTGTAACATATAGATAAGTTTAAAAAGACACACACACACAGAGAATGTTTTTTTCTAACAAGGAGTTAATGTTTAAAACATGACTCCGTGTTCTGAGAGCACAAGATGTTTAGGAGAGAAATTTTCTGAGAAATAGTAGTCTCTTCTCTGTGAAGGGAAAATATTGAAGCAAAGAGATAATTTGAGACCAGAAGGAAATTAGAATTAAAATAAGATAAATTTAGCTTAATTAAAATAAAGGATCTTTAATTAGGTTAAGGGGAAGACTAAGTGTGAGGTTAGAACAGACACAGACTTTGGTCTGAGAACGAAAAGATCGCTGACGGAATTGTGAAGGATGACAGGCATGATTCAGGAAAAAGAGTAACGAACTAAAGCATGAAAATAATAACCTGGTAATTAAATAGCATTTTAAAGTTTTTGTATATTTGATTATCTTTTGAGATGGAAGGGGCTGAGTACATCTTCTGAATCAGCTTATTTATCTTTCAATTCTTGTATTAGTAATGTGTTCATTCTTATCTTTCATGCATTCATTTCTTTTCAGCAATGAATGCCAGGCACAGTTGGGTCCTGGAAAAACACAGATGATTCGGACACAGAACTGAGCTGAGCAACAGTCTATAGCTCACAGCCTGCAAAGGGATCATCACCAGCCAATCACAATGCGATGTGGTATACAAATGACAAATATTTGCTTATATTTTTGTTCACAAGCCATTAGTATTCTGTCATTTGTTTGAAAGTCTAATCCACAATAGTCCAAATTCTCAAGAAGCCCAGATAGTTCTGGAGACTTCAGGGAATTAGCAAGGAGTTCCACGTACATGACTCCAGTTAGAATGTTAATAGTTCACTTGAGATGCATAACATCTCTAGACTCTGGTCCTAAGCCCCGCTCCTTCCATTGTCCCCAGAGAGTTAGCCCCTTGCACCACCCCCCAAGGACTTATATGTTGATGAGGAATAGGCCTCAATAGACAAATTGTATTTTTCAAAGATGGTGGTTCAAATCTCCCATCCCATATGGTCTTCTACAATGTGACAATGCCATACCCCTCTTTGGAGGTAGGCCTATTCTCTCCTCTTAAATCTGAGTGGGGTGTGACTGCTTCTACCAATAGGATGTAGTGGAATGCCTTTGCATAACTTCTCAGGCTAGGTCAGAAAAGATCCGGCAACTTCCACCTGTTGCTTTTGCACACTTGCTCTGGAGGAAGCCAGCTACCATGTAAGAAGCCCAAGTGTAGGTGTTCTGTTTGGCCACCTCAGGTGACCTCTGGCAGCAGCCAGCATCAACTGCCACCCCCTGGCTGGCATCCAGCCCAGTTAAACCTTCAGATGACCGCAGCCTGGCCAACATCTGACCTCAGCTGCATGGGAGACCTCGAGTGAGAACTGCCTGACAGACTCCTCCTGAATTAGTATGGCAAAATCCTGAGTGAAATGAACAGTGACTCTAAGCTGCTAAGTGTTGGAGTCATTTGTTACACAGCAATAATAATCAGAACAGGTGTCCTGCTGGACCTTCTGAGGCCTGTGAGGCCTAAGTTAGGAGAGAAAACCTTACTTTTCTATGTGATACAGAGTTTTAAATCTTTTGGAATGATGGGGGCAACGGTCTGGTCCTTGAGCTTGGACCTCCACTTACAAGGATAATGCCCCATTCACAAAGTCCCACCATGGAGGCAGAGCCGAGGGGCAGGTTTCTAGCACTGAAGATGGTGGTTAGGATTAATTGTGAGACTTTAGGCAGTTTCTTTTTTTCTTTTTTTTTTTGGTGAAGAGATTGGCCCTGAGCTAACATCCGTTGCTAATCTTCCTCTTTTTTTTTTCCTTCCCGAAGCCCCAGTACATAGTTGTATATCCTAGTTGTAGGTCATTCTAGTTTTTCTATGTGGGATGCCACCACAGCATGGCTTGATGAGTGGTGTGTAGGTCTGCACCCAGGATCTGAATGGGCAAAACCTGGGGCTACCAAAGCACAGCGCACGAACTTAAACACTGGGCCATGGGGCCGGGCAGTTTCTTGCCTCACTTAGGCTCAGTTTCTTCATCTGCAAGATATGGGTAATGATAACACTGACCTTAGAGAATAATTGTGAATGTTTCAAAAATGCTAAGTGGTGCCTAGCACATAGCAAATACACAATAAATGCTAGTTTTTACAGTTATTTCAGCTTGAAGCTCTCTTTGACCCTGTCTCACTGGCCTTCACTCTTGCTTCCTTGGCTTCATCTGATAGCCAAAGGCTTTGTCCGTGCCTTCCCTGACCATCTTTGACATGGTCGCCAGCCACCTGCCCTGAATCACGCCTGGGCTGGGTGACTCCTGTCCATCCCCAAGGCTTATTTGGTTACATCTCATTTCCCGGGTCAAGTTCCCAACACCAAACAAGTCCATTACAACAAAAGGGATGAAGTGTCGTCATTAAGTGGGGTTCTTGATGTCATCTGCCCGAGATGTCAGAGCAGATCCCTAAGAAATGCTTTCTGCCTCTCTGGGCAACAGCTAACCGTGATGTGTTGAACATCTCTCAGTGATGTGTAGTGTATGGAAACGACATTAAGTTGCACCTAAGTGAAGCCAGCAGATATTTATTGAGTATCCATCATGTCTTGGGATCCAGCAGAGGGAATGATGGCTGAGTTTTGCACTGGGCAACCAGAGAGGGGTGAGCAGCTATTAAACCGTGCTGTCTACAAATTAAACCTTTCACATGCAGATAATCAAATATTAGCCATACAGGCCAAAATATAGAGAGCCAATGATTATGAAATGTTAGATTTATTTTTGCTGTTTGGTTCCATGGTCAGCATCAGTGTCTGTCTTTAACCTTGTTTCGCAATGATATCTTGCTGAGAGATATCTGGCCATTCCAGGCCATTCACACATCCAAGCTGTTAGGAGAGAAAATGCAGCATGGATGCTCCCAGCCTCACCATCACTGCTTCCGTTTTCTGGGTGTTGGGGCGGAGATGCCCAATTACACGGCGAGCTTGTCCTTGTTGAGTGGGAGGCTGCTCTCATCCCAAATGTGCTCATCATACTATTCAACAGTGGATTTGGAGAATAGCTTGGCATTCTTCTTTTCTTCAGTTATCATACTGAATAAGCACATGGTGAATTAAAGATAGCCACAAATACTTTGTTTCTCTCTGTACCAGGAGGCGGAATCTATTTCCCCTCCCCTGGAGTCTGCACTGGCCCTGAGACTGTATCCAAAAGACGTGGCAGAGTGACACTTGCCCATTCCAGGTCCAGCCTGTAAGACGACTGGCAGCTTCTGCTCCTTGTCTCTCAGAACTCCTGTTCTTAGGAGCCCCCAGCCATCTGTGAGAAACACAGCTCCCTTGCAGGAGAGACCACAAGAAGAGGAGAGGCCCTGGACCACACGGTGCAGGAGGGAGGCTGAGCGATTTCAGCACTGATGCAGACCTCCAGTTAACACCAGTCCCAGCTGCCTTCTGACTCCAACTGCATGAGAGACCCCAGAGAGACCAGTAGTAGAACTGTCCAGCTGAGCCTGGTCAACCACAGAAATGTGAGAGATAATAACAACAGGGATTGTTTTAAGCTGCTCAATTGTGGGCCGGTTCATTCTGTAGCAGCAGATGACCAAAACAGAGAAGAAGTTAGAAGTTTTAATTGGGGGGTGGAGAGTTCGCTTTTCTGGGATCCCAAAGGCCGCCAAATTAGCACAAGAAATAACATCAAACAAGAAATTCCGCTGCGACTTTCTAAAGGCCTCGGCTTCTCAAGCCAGGAAAGGGGGACAGAGTCAGCAGTGGTCCTCTCCTTTGCTGTCTTTGGAAGGGATTATGAGCGGCCAGTCAAGGGGGCTGCAGTTGAAGAGTGCTGACGTGGACATCACGGGGCTGTTGGAGGTTTCATAAGCGCACGGTGCCTGTCTGGCCACTGCAGTGCCACTTTCAGGGTGCTTCTCTGATCCCCCAGATGCTGCGTGAAATGATGACTACAATACAGCCGGGGCAGGTTCCCCCAAACCCAGATGCCTCTGTCTCCTAGGTGAGCCCACCTCAGCCACTGTGCTTTCTAAACCAGAGCATTAGGAAGGAAGAAACAGTTCTAAGCTCCTGACATCCGTGCACACGCACACTCTTAGGCAGAGCTCCTTTCTTCTTGTGAAAGCCCTCGGCCACTGGAGAAAGCTTTCACCTCCACTTCAAAATGTCTCACACATCAGGAAACACAGAGGCACTGTTTACCTGTTGATAGTTAATGAGCCCACACAAAGACAGGGCCGATTTTAAGCACGCTGGCTCCCTTGTTTCCCCATCAATGCTGCTTCAAAGGCTTGCTTTAGAGCACAGAGTGTTCTTTGAAGATCTTCAGAAGGAAAAGGCTCCATTGTTTCATCTCTGTGTAGACTTTACATGTCATTGGACCAAGACTGCTCAGGAGAGCTTCCACTGGAGGACCGGACGGCTGATGAAGAGCGACAGTGCATCTCCAGTGAGATGACAACAGGGCAGAGATTCTCCAGAATCTTGGCAGAGCCAATGACATGTGTAGTTAGAAAAACAGCAATTCATCAAACTCATTGATTTTCATATCACGAACTACAGAAAATAAAGCTCTGCTAAATCTTTATCTGGCAGGCATACGGGATAGAATAACGTATCATAGGCGGCGTGTGTAGTAAAATGTTATTAAAGTCTGCTTTACAAGTGTTCATTCTGAAAGTAGCAATAAAGTAAAAAAATCTCCAAATCCCAATTCTGCTGCTAAAAATCTATTTCGTGGATCTAGAGCCACACTGTCTGATAGAACTTTCTGTGATGATGGAAATGGAGCTGCATTGAATCTCATCAACTGTTAGCCGCATGTGGCTCTTGAGAATGTGCAGTGAAGCTAGTGTGATTGAGGAATTGAATCTTCAATTGTATTTAGCTTTAACCAATTAAAATTAAATGTAAATAGCCACAGATGGCTAGTGGCTACTCCACTGGACCGTGTGGATCTAGAGAAATAGATGGTAGATACAAACAGGTTTAGAAGATGTTTCCAGGTGAGGTATAAGCATTCACCCAATGAGAATTCACGGTTCAGTGATGGTCAGCTTTCGTTTGTCCATTTTTAAAGTTTTTTAATTTACTAAATATTTGTTAAGGGCATCCTCAAGTTCGAGGCCCCCTAATCTGGAGGAAGGTGAGGATTTTGCCATAGTATAGATGGTGATTGGGCCCAGCAGTTGGCTATTCTGCCTCTGATTAGCATCTCCAAAACAACGAATCTTTTCTATTCCAAAGGCATGCGAAGACATACTTGCTTCCAAATGATGTAAAGGCTTTGAAATACTCACCATCGTCCATAATTCCAATGGTGACACCCTTCCCTGTGTACCCCAGCTCCCAGGCTTCTGCCACGTTCAAATCAAGGCCAGGAGTTCCATCAGCTTGCCCGGTATTGATCTGGTTCAGGAATTCCAAAGCAGAGAATCTTATTAGTTTGGGGTAGTAAAGCATTTGTGTAAATGTTGGTTTGACAAACTGTGCAGCCATCTGCCATTCCAGGGCCAGCTCAAAGGCCACTTCTTCCGGGAAACAGTACTTTTGGGGGTTTCCCCACTCACCTCTTCTAGCCTCCTCCCTCCATTTTTTGATATACCCAACTGATGTTTCCTGTTGCCTAAATAAGCAAACATGATTTCAATACCCCCGTCTCTTGTGACTAGAAACCCTTAGCACTGTCATGGCAAGAAACCCTCCCCGATTTAGAATTAAATGCTTGCTCCCACAGCTCTCTATCTAGACCTCAGATTTGAATTTAGCACATATTGTCTTGGATTATTCTTATTTGAATGTGATTTCCTCACTAAATAACAAATCCTTTGCAAGAGGGAGCATGTCCTATTTACCTTTGTAATTTCAGTACCACCGCACCAAGTCTTGCTTAAAAACATTTGCTTAACTGAATTAAAGATAGCTGGCTTGCCTTTAGTGCATGCTCTAATGCAAAAAAAAAAAAAAAGCCTCTTCCCTAAAATAAATTCAAAAAAGAAAGAAAAACAGTGAAAAATTCCATATAAATATATGTTCACTACCCTCTTTTATGCATCTTTATCCTATGCAGATTTTCTCAAAAATGAATTGTAAAAAATTGGTGAAGTCAGAGCTTGTCCTGGCAGAAGCCCACAGTGATCGTTGGCTGTTATCATATTGCTAAAACATTGTATGAATGCCATTAGTGCTCTTTATGAAAAGGACTGCTCTTCTCCTTCCAGACATGTGTTAAGATTACACCTCTCCACCCCTTTTGAAGTTAGAATGCCCACGTGACTGGTTTTGGCCAATAAAATGTGAGTTCATGTGCCATTTGTCACATCCAAGCAGAAGCTTTAAGAGCCAGCTTGCGAGTTGCCCCTTGGTCTCGTAGAGGAGCTCGTGAAAGCAGGGGTCTGGATGGAGCTGAGGTGGAGCCTGTGTCCCTGAGGGGTTGTGAAGTGTTAGACATACAGCATGAGTGGAAACCAGCTTTGATTTTGCTAGACCACTGTGATTTAGGGGTTGTTTGTTATTGTAAGAGATCTAGCCTACCCGAACAAACATACATGAACTCATTCAGTTACCCACATCGGATTTGTAGAATTCCACGCCAAAAGGCATAAGGCATAATCAACTCTTAAGCCCCAAGAGGGAAGCTGTGATGCATTCCTATAAAGCAGCAGTCCACAGGGCTGTAATTTAGTTTTCTCTCTTGCTTATCACCTTTTAATTTGTTTTTTTTTTTGGAGGAAGATTAGCCCTGAGTGAACTGCTGCCAATTCTCCTCTTTTTGCTGAGGAAGACTGGCCCTGAGCTAACATCCATGCCCATCTTCCTCTACTTCATATGTGGGATGCCTACCACAGCATGGCATGCCAAGTGGTGCCATGTTGGCACCAGGGATCCGAACCGGTGAACCCCGGGCCGCCGAGGTAGAATGTGCAAACTTAACCGCTGCGCCACTGGGCCGGCCCCACCTTTTAATCTTAAATGAAGTAAAGCTTCACTCACATCTATAAATTAGTCACTCTTTTCCCCTCAATACGCCCTGCAGTTCGGGTTGGTTTGGAGGCACTGAGCCCCTTCTAAACATAACCCAGCCCATCCAAAGGGATCATGAAGGACTATTGCTAAGCCAGAAAATATTCACTTCATCAGACAGACTGGGTTTCTGTGCCTTGAATCCCGTAGCAATTAAGCCCCATGGAATTGATTTCCTGCCATTATTTTAGGAAGCACTTATAGATGCTACTTTTGTTACTTCAGTCTCTGAGCTCTCTTGCCTGTGCCTTGTGAAGTCACTGGATTCTTTCTCCTATGCCTGTGGTTTCATCATTTCCTCCCATTACTCTGCCTGTTGAGACCTCTGGATTACTCTTCCCAAAACTTTAACTTCGCTTTTACATGTTTTTGCAAGTCTTCACTCACACACAGGGGTGCTTTTTCAGAGTCTAGGGGAATCTGACCGGCTCTTGGTAGTTGCTTTGACCCAGGGCTATTTAGCAGTTCCAGAAGAAAACAGATCAGAGAATGAGATGCATGGGTGGTGACGGAAAATCAATACATATCAGAGGAGACAGAGAGGTTCACTGGGTTGGATGCTGGCTGACATCCCACAGAATAATGAGGAAATAGAAACGCATCTTCTATCTGAAGTCCCAAGATGAGAAACATAAGGAACAATACAGAGATGCTTACCAGATACCATTGCTTTGTAAAAAGAGGATCATTCATGTTGATGTCGATCTCATTGATGTCTCTATACCCTCGCTTTTTTCGGTTGAATCCTTCCTGTTGCAAGGCCATCTTTACCTGGAAAGACAACACTGGCACATTACCTGAAGATCAACCTGAACACCCCCCTTCTGGAATTCGTTTCCATGAACTCAAATCTCATTTGTACATAAGGAGTTTTTTTCTCAGCAGAAACCAAGTTCATCTCATGTACACCGTCGCTTTATGATTATTTTCCAAGAGCATTTACTTCTGCTTGCACTGAACTAACAGGGCTTGGTGGTGGCTCCAAGTGAGTTTCCTTAAAATAAGCATTAGATGGAGAAAAGTACTCTCAAGGGAGATAAGGTGGTCGGGGTTGTTAAGTGAATTAAAACAAAGCAATGGGACACTCACTTCTGTTAAAGAAAGGAGATTGATGTGGATTCAGGGAGAGAGAGAGAGAGAGAGAAAATTGCATAGATCATTTTTCTGGAAGGCTTCCCAGTCTGTACATTTGTTGACAGTATTGCACTATCACATTTGGGAATCAGCCAAAAACAACCAACCAAAAAAACCTGCCTGGCGAGCCGGCAAGTCCATAGCAAAGCTCTAGAAGGTAACTGAGGGACCTTTGAAGAGAAATTGATGGATCGTACTTGCAACGACAACACTTGCAATGACAACACTTGCAACGACAGCACTTCATTTTTGGACAGTCAGACAGAACCCCAGCTCCTTGGATGGAAAGTGAAACTTGGGAGCTGAATTAGCTCAAGCAGGCTTCTGGCAGTGGCCAGACGTTGTCCCAGTCATGAAACTTGCTTTCTCTTAGGCAATAACTCATTTATCATCCCAGTCTCTGAACATCTACAAACTCAAGGACTATGCAAATGTATAAAACGGTGTGTGTTGGATACTTAATTTTTCTTGTTATATTTTGCTGCTCAACGTTAATTTCTCCTTTTCCCAAATCTTCCCAGTGTATTTGCGGGTTTACCTCGAGTCCACTGGGTTCTGTGCTGGTGGGAGTGAAATTAGAGGGACCATCTGCTGTAAAGAACCCGAAGGCTCCCTCTGCCTTAGAGGTGCCTCCACGGGGGATCTATCTCCCAGGATTTGAATCTTGGGAAAGTGATGTGAGGGCAGAAGGAAGCCTTGGAAGCTATTTGTCTAGAGCTTCATTCACCAGGCTCTCCCCGTAAAGATCCTTGTGATGGCTCCCACAGCGCAGCCCTCGGGTTCCCCCAAGACTAATCCTTCGGCCTCCCATAGATGGTGAGCTCTCCATACCTTTCCAACAAATTCTCTTTCGCTTAAGTGATCAGGAATCAATTTCTGTTGCTTGCACTCAAGAACTCTGATGTGGGACGAGAGGAAGACAAGAGGATCCAAATCAAGAGCGATGGCAGGAAGGGAAGAAGGAAGAGACCACAGATGTGGCTGAAACCCTTCCCCTTGCTACCGCCCTGGAATGTGGAGGAGCAGTGTGGGAGAGAAGTTCCCTACTTCCTCTCTCTGCACTGATACAGAAGGCCTGGCGCTCATTTGTCAGAAAAATATTAACTCGACCAGAGACTCTATGCATGTAGAAAAGAGCTGGCAGGTGTGGCCTTTGCTCTGTGGGTTCTTACGTATTCCAACAAGAGATGTTCATTGTGGCACAGTTTAAAAACAAATCCCCTCCACAAATAGCGAAATAATTGGACAAACGGAATGGATAGGCATTTTTATAATGGCAAAAATCTGGACACAACTCGTGTCCATCAAATGGAGATAAATTATGATTCAAATATACATACACGTATACTTATGTATACACGTGTGTATTATACATATATCTTCTGAGAAACAGATGCCAAGATGCGATTAAATGGGCAAGGATTTTAGTAGGAGAGAAATGCAAGAAATTGTGATGCAAGTCTGACCCTGTAAAGAAGAGGGTGACGAGATTGGGCAAAAGTGTCCTCAACTGCCCCATAGTCCAAGGAAGGTTTGGCAAGGCTGTGGGGGATCCAGAGCTGGCTGTCAGAGGACCCTTGAGTCTCCCAGGGCCAGGCCGGCCTGAGTACCCCTGCCATGCTCAGTCACTGGCTGGAGCAGCCATGGGAAGCGTGGCCTGTTGCCAACACAGTGATAGATTTCAGAGAGCAGCAGCTGGGGTCCTTGGTCAATTGCTCTCCCTGAAGTCAGAGGTCTGCGTGGCATATTCTCACAGCTGCCACAGAATAGATATGTACATTTATATATGTGTCTCCGTGCGTGGGTGTATTCGTTAATGTAGAACATGTAAAATGTTGAAGTAAATGTAATTCTCAACCTGTAATGGGCCGCAAAGTGCTCCTCTTAAAGCTTTCTTTCTTTTTTTTCTTTTAAAGATTGCCACCTGAGCTCACAACTGTTGCCAATCTTCTTTTTTCTTTCCCCCCTGCTTTTTCTCCCTCAATCCTCCTAGTACATAGTTGTGTACTTTTAGTTGTGGGTCCTCCCAGTTGTGGCATGTGGGACGCTGCCTCAACGTGGCCTGACGAGCGGTGCTGTGTCCGTACCCAGGATCTGAACCCGTGAAACCCTGGGCCGCCGAAGGCGGGGCGTGTGAACTTAACCACTTCGCCATGGGGTCGGCCCCGAAAAGCTTTCTTTTACTGTGGATGCAAGTATTCAAATAAGAGCATCACTTTACTTTGGGAAAGAAAGAGCCTGAATTCGGCCATCTCATCTTCCCATTCTGAAGCCACAGCAAGGCCTTTATCTGCTCTACTCACTAACAGGAAGCCTTGACTGGCCTCCAGTGAGGGACTCCCGTTGTAGTGGATCCATTGCCATGAATGACCCCGTTGAAATGGCGCCTTTCCTTTGCTAAGCAAGGGCAATCTCCACATGGAAGGTTGAAAACTCTCATCTGTAGGTTGTTTCCCAGCAGCATAAGAACAAGAAGACTCCCATCAGATTTCATCTTTTTAAATAACGGTGCAGGCATGGCTATGACAATATCACTCCAAACTCAATTAGACCAAGTGCATTCTAATGAAAAGACTGTTTAAATTCATTTCCATAAAATTAATTTTTAATTCCATAAATTAGGTTTTAATGGAGACCAGCAATGCTTTGGAATGCTGCATTCTCTGGACACCACCCCTCCTTGCAACTCAGAGGTGCCAAAGTATGACTTAGGTGTCTGTGATTTTGCATCTTGTGTTACTGAAAATTAGGAATCCTAAGACGGCAGAGGGCTTTCTGAGCCAGTTTATCTTCGTGTCCTCAGTGAAGATCACACTTACAATTCCAAGAGGGATGAACACCTTTAAGACACATACTTTTACTTGTTACACACAAATAACTGAACAGGTCCCCCCCCCACAATGATACCATATGATACCATCAATTGCTTTTATTTTTCTAAGTTCTTGTCCTATCCTAATTTGCATTTAAACCTAATTTTTATGTAATAGTAATCATACTGTAGATAGAATTGTGCATTCTTTCTTCACTAAGTATCCTACCATAGAAATTGTAATATGTGGCTACATATCTCTCTTTAATTGTTTATGGCTACCTAAATATTCCATAGAGTAATGTACCCTAATTTACCCAATGATTTCCTTCTTATTGGCCATTTGGATTGTTTTCTATTATAAATGAAATTGCCATGAGCAGAGAGATGACGTTATAAACTCTTTTTAAAGACCTCTGGAGAAGATTTCAGTGTTACAATTCTGTGTATGATAAAGCCCTTAATGTCAGAGAAGTGCTAGGTCCTAGCATCTATATTCCTTCCTCACATTATAAAAGGCCACTTTTATTCTCTCTCCTTTCTCCTCTGAATTGTAACCTTTCACATACAATGCCTTTCCTTACCACTTAGATCCGGCACCAATGACATGCATACAGCTTAACTGTAGGTTCTTGGCTTCTCAAAAAAGAATGCAGAGTTAGCTTCGGTATTTAGTTTTATAATGCTCCCCCGAGTTGGTTCATTGAACTAAACATTTATACAAACAAAAAATATAAGAAAGCAGAAGTGTTTGTTACTGGGTGTTGTTTTCTAATAATGAACAGATGGATATTCTACAATTCTGGTTCATCTTTTAACCTTAATTTGGCACCTGTGCACAGTACAAATTATACCCGAGCAACTCTACCCGCTTCCTTCCCTCTTCCAGGTTCTTTCTTCAAGTAAGAATTTTTCAGTCAACAAATGTTGTTGTGCGTCTACAATGTACATACCAGGACGAGGCAGATGTGATCCCTGCACACTGCATGCTATTTTACGAGGTACGTAAATGAGGTGTTTTACTACATTTAATCTTCTCAACAAAACTGTAGAGTGGCTATGGTTACAGCTGAGGAAAGAGAGACTTAGGGGCCATTGTCTGACAGTTGAGAACATGGCAGAGTCACTCAGGTTGACCAATTCTAAATGCTGTGAACTTTCCACCAAGCCACACTGCCTCTCCCTAATCATGGAACACAGTTAACCTTGCTGTATCTGGGACAGCTTAACCATGGATGTAACTCTCTAAGGATCGGGGCCCGGATCCCTTCCCCATTAGGCTGATAATTAAACAGCTGCTAATTAGCATTTACTGTGCTGGGCAGGGAGGGGCCCAGAGAAAGGGAGCAAAATGGGAAACCTGCCTCTAAAGGGTGTGAGGAGCATCTTGGCTTGAAGTGGACACAAGAAAAGAAACATAAAACACAAAACTGACATGTTCCTGAAAAGACTGAAGTTTATGAATCTATCATGCCATTGATTGTGTCACACTATTATTTTCTGTACTATCAAAAATTATTTTATTTACCACTCTTATGGGGTGAATTGTGTCCCTCTAAAGGGGGTTTACTGAAGTCCTAACCTCCAGTACCTCAGAATGTGACCCCATTTGGGAATAGGGTTGGTATAAGAAATTTTAATTTTCAAGTATATGGGGAAGTCATTCTGGTTTGAACCTGATTTGGCCTGAATTTTATTTTAACCAGAGCAGCCTGACAAACATGCATTGCACACCTGCTTTAATGGTAAAGAATGAACTCTTTGAAGATAAAAAAATTCACGCCTCTCCTCCTTTGACACCAGCACTCTTTAAAGATACAACTGA